TGCGTCGGACTGCCCTCACGCACCGCCCCGCGGGTTTTCCTCGCGGGAGGCACAGCCCTGGCCGCGTGCCGCCGCCGCTGGGCCGCGGAGGCTGTGCTGCGGCGCACTCGCCTGTGCCCGGGCCCTCGCTGGCGGCGGGTGGTGGGGATCGGGAGGAGGCGCGGGGCTGACAGTGGCAGACTAGTTTTCTTTCTGTTTTCCAATGTTTTGGCCTTCGCCCTGACCCACATCCCCTGACCTTTTGATGTTTTGATTTGAAACAGTGTCTGGCTAACTCAGTAAATTGTTCATGATGGGCTCAAATTTGTGATCCTCCTGGAATCTAAGGAGGCTGTGGGTCCCCACTTCAGCTCAGTAGTTGTCTCTTAGTAATGTCTCTTACTCAGGATGGTTTGTCTTACTTTTGAATGTTTCTTACCCCTTTTTCTCTCCTCTGTGCTTTCTTTTTCTGCTCCCTCCGAAAGGAAAAAGAATCGCTCGAAATCTCAGCCTGTCTGTTTCTCATTCTGGAGATTGGTGAAAAGTTAATGGGGAGCCCAGTGAATCATTGATGAAAACCTTGGCATTCGATGAGGATTTAAATCTCATGCCGCAGCAGTATTAGCTCTTTATTTCATTGCTATGCCCACTAAAGCATTGGCCTGTAAAGATTTAGTCTGTTATTTAAACAGTTGTAAACTGTTGTAACTCTCCCCCCTTTTTAAGTCCTGGGAATTGAACCAGACCTTTGCATAGTTACATTGCCACTCCTGTTTTAAACTTTGAGACTGTCTCATTGAGTTGTTAGGCAGAACTGGAATTTAAGATCTCACCAACTCAGGCTCCCAGAGTGCTGGGATTATCCATTTTAAAAATCACAAAGAAAGTGTTGGGATAAAGAACACCCATTTTCCTCTTTTATCAAGGTCCCATTACGTGGTAGCTGAGCTCTGTGAAATTCACTCACTGTGCTTTTTCCAAATTGAGACAAAAACCTATGTAAGTATCACTATGGAAATACTGGGTGAGGTTAGTGTACAGCATCTCTTGTTGAATTCATTTTTTTTTTCAGAACCGGGGATTGAATTTAGGCTCTTGTGCTTGCTACGCAAGCTCTTGTTCTACTGAGCCATCTCCCCAGCCCCAACCATCTCCCCAGCCCCTCTTGTTGGATTCAGAGGATGTTTGTCCTGTTATAAGCACTCAGTGTTTTTGTTTTTTGTTTGGTTTTTGGTGCTGAGGACCGAACCCAGAGCTTCCAGCTTGCTAGGCAAGCATTCTACCGTTGAGCCAGATCCCCAGCTAGCACTCAGTTTTTTTATTTGTTTATTTATTTATTTATTTATTTATTTATATTTTTGTGTGTGTGTGGCCAGCTCAGCCCACCAGGAGGCGGGGCTGGCTGGCATGTGGTGCTGGGGGATTGAACCGCGGTCCCTGTAGCACTCAGTTTTTAATGGAATGAATTTCATAAGTGCAGAAAAGTTTGATATGTATGATTCATGATTTTGAGGAAAAACAATGGAATTGACTTTGAAATTGGGGCCAGAAGGCAAAATGGTTGTTTATTTATTGGACCCAAAGCTTAAAAGTATAATTTTAAAATTGTGAGATGTTGTTGGTACTGGAGGTTGTATCCAGGATGATTGCGCTGAGTTACATCTCCAGACCTTTTTTATTCTGAGACAGTGTCTTGTTTAAGTTGCTAAATTGCCCAGGCTGGATTGAACTTGTGATCTTCGTGCTCACCCTCCCAGAGTGCTGGAACTACAGGCATGTGACATCACATCTGGCTTTTACATTTTTAAACCCCGTTTTCTTCCCAAACAGACCCGCTCTTTATAAATTTTTAAACTGACATATAATGGAATGTGTGAGTCACTGTTTCTCCTGCCCTAGGTAATGTTAGTACAGTTTCTGTCACTGTGTAACTGGTTGCTAAGAAGGAATGTCTGTTCTTTGTTAGGTTTGGGTTTTGTATTTCATGGGTTTATTTTATTTTACCTTTTATGTATTTGTTGTAAGGTCTCATTAGGCAGCTCAGACTCCTCCTGACCTTCCTGTTTTCAGCCTCCCCACTCAGTGCGTGAGTGGGGATGGGGTAG